ATTGCTATTATTTGGCCATGTCATATTTATAGAGGCTATCTAGCAGATCTTTTAAGAGAATTCGATGCATATTGTGCATGTGATGGCCAAGATGCTATACGAGTCTTAAATAAACTTGACTGATTACCTGATTTAATCCTTAGTGGTGATCTGATTTACTGGTAATATATTGTATTGTCGTAAACTGTTGTTTTGCCGTAATAGTAACTTATTGTCTGCCATAACCTGTTGCTCTGCTGTAACCCTATATTGTCGTAATTGCCATAACCTCCATATTGTCGTAACTGCCGTAACTGCTGTAACCCCCGTATTGTCGTAACTGCCATAACCCCCGTATTGTCGTAACTGCTGTAACCCCCGTATTGTCGTAACTGTCATAACCCCCGTATTGTCGTAACTGCCGTAACCTGTTATATTGCCGTAACCAGTTACGGCAAATGTCAGTTGTTACGACTACGTCATTACGACACTTTTGACATGACAACACGTCAATTGGACGTAACCATACATCTTCAAATGTCTGCATCTATAAATAAGATACAGAAAATTCTGAAAGATTTAGTATAAGGTCAAGAGTTTCTTATATAAGTAAACTGCTTTAAAGACTTAGTGGTTATAATATATTTTCACTGACATCAATCAGAATCATTAATAAGCAGAGATAGGTGATGGATATGAAAACTAGAATGTTTAAATAAAGAACTTACAAGGAGGTTCTAGGTATGACAACTAGTATAAAATCTTCAGATGGACTACTTAAATTAGACAATAACTAAAATTGTACAAGTGATTAGTTGTACACTCTTTCTATGATTACCTTTGTGGTTGTAATGCAATCATTAGCCAAATATACTATTAATAAAATCCTAGGTCACAAGTACTTATTTTAATTTTTTTTTTAAAAAAACACAAGTTATTACATAAGATCTATATGATAATGTATATTTATATATAGAATAAAATTACTTAAGGCATTAAAATAGAATTAAATTAAATTAAACTAAGCTTATCTGTTATAATAAATTTACTTGAAAAATTGAAATCTTTTATTTTGAAGTTATAATGTTTTGTCAAAATGGTTGCAATAGGTGTAATGGTTATAATGGGTATAACAACTGATAACCTGATCTTATAAATTATGAGAAAATTAATATATATACATGTTACTCTGATTATATCAATATTTTTAAGACATTAGTAAAAATTTTCAAAATGTTGATACAGTGAGTTATACTAACATTTTATATTAAAACTTTAAAAAATAATGTTGGTATAGAAAGATTTTGCTATGATATCATTATATCCAGATGTCAGTATAACCAGAATGACATGTATTGATATAGTTAGAGATGGGCAAATCACGGTTTTTTAAAAAATCCCATGCATCACACACGGGATCTGCGCGGGATTTGTATCCTGCGTGGGATTCATTAAATCTAGGTGCCACATGGTTGAACCTCAATTTTGATTTTTCAATGATTATAATCAACAAAATTTTGGTCGCATTATACATAATTTTGACTGGAGTTTAATTTTTCAATTGTCTAAGGTTTGAGTCTGTTTGATGGCAAAATTAACCCAGGAACATATTTCACTTAGAGTTGAAAATTACATTTTACAAATTTACAATACATGTAATTTTACGGGATATATAGTACCTAGAGATGGGCAAATCGCGGTTTCTCCAAAAATCCTGCGCGGGATTCATTAAACCACAAAATT